TTAAGCAGACCTAGTTCATTTTCACTAGCTTGATCAAAAACAATCATTACTCATCATTTAAAATTATTGTATTTTTAGTGTTGTCTCTATATGTACGAGTTAGATATATTATTTTGATTAAACTGTACCAAGTTACACCACGTTAAAACACCCATTTCATTAATTAAAAATAAAAGGATAATACATTAAAAATTAATATTTAATATATTTAACATTTTAAATTTAATTTACATAATTTAAATGTACTTTAATTCAGGAAGTAAAAAATATTCAACTAAAATATTAAAAAACTTAATACAAACTATTAAAATCTTATTTAATAAAAATCAAAAGAAATTTTTTTTAAATATATTTTAAACCATTTAACTTAATTTTAAATTAGTGCTGTCCAAAATAAAAGTTTTTGTTTACAGAATATATGCGTGTACTGTGTATATTTATTATGTATATATAAATACACACACAATATTTAAGAAAAATGTTACGTTTATATATAAAATATATTTATATACAATGACAAATAAGAGAAACAAAAAAAATCAAAAAATCTACTTTTCTTGGCAATGTACTCCTTGTATTCCTGTTGATTTCATATGGTTTTGAGAAATATTTACAGAATTTGACACAAAAAATGTCATGTGGCGTAACCATCAAATAAAAAGTAATACCATTTTTTTCCTTACACCTTGAACATGCGAGTATACAAATCTTAATCATCTTTTTCAAAAATGTTTATAAATGTATGTTTCAAGGTTTCATGACATTACAACTATCAGGAATTATTAAATTATATATATATACATAAATATATATCATTACTTTTTGGGGAGTCACACCACATGACATTTTACAACCTGAACTGATCTTTTCTTGCCAAAATATTTTGGATATTTTAAGAGACTTCTTGACCTTGACACAAAGTCATGAGGGACTCTATGATATAATCTCTTGTTTCTGCATGTTGGTTGCACCACATGATTTATGATAATATTATTATAAGATAATGGCAACCAACTTAAGTTTTTCTTTAAGACCCTCATTATTTTAATGATGATTGTTTCTTTGATATCAAGACAGTTGTAGCACCCTGGCATTTTTGACATGAAAAAAAAAAAGAATGAATATTTATATTTATATATTTATATTATATTTTAATTTGAACATCATTTCATTAATTTAAAATGAATTTTAACTCATTTTATTTGGGCACCTAATGAAAACTGGGGATAATCTTTTAATGGACACTAAAAATAATACAGTAGTTTGGCCAATTCTGTGTTCTCACCAGTGGGGAGGAAGATGGTTGTTCCCTGCTTCACCACACATTTGTAACACTTGTCGACTTTATCCCCGAAGAATACTTCGCTCTGATTGGGTGATGAGCTCCAGGACTCATATAGTGCAAGGTTAGCCTTAGTCGGCTTGATCAAGTAGAAAATCTTCTCCCCCTGCAAAAAAAAAAAAAAAGCAGCCTTATCAGCGCTTATCACTTATATAACAGTAACACCACATGACCGGATCTCCACAAATTGCCATTTAGAAACCATTTGGATGGCGACATACAAAAGTACACTTCATAAAACAGATTCACGCAAACAGGACGGCCTCAGTTCTTACCCAGAGAACATGATACCACACTGAAGTTCCTCCAAAATCGATGTGGAAGTCTGTGTAACTGTTTTTCATTCCCATGAGGCAATACTTCTGCACAAATGGTTTGGGGAAGAACGAGTCATCAGGCCAGTAGTTCTC